AGCGGGTGGCCCTCCTCTGAACCCTCTCAAGGCAGGCCACATCCTTCTTAAAGTGTAGTGCCCAGAACCTTGGAAAACCCCAGACCAGAGCTCCCTCTCTTCCTTACTCCCTCCCACCCTACGGACAGCCCAGCTCTGCTTTTGTGCAGAGACAAAAAATAGTTAATGAAGGTGCTCCACTTTGGAATGCCTTCATCTGAACCCTTATTAAATGAGGGTTAATCTGTTGTGCAACTTCTGTCAGAGCACAGCTGTAGAGTGCTTTCAAAGGGGTGATTGCATGACAAATATCACCTCTGTCAGCATCCACTAGAAATCTTAAATCCTAATGTTAGGCTTGTCCTCCTTAGCCTTTACTATCCTCTTTACAGGGATTTGAAAACGCATGTTTATGTGTACACTTGCTCTGTCTTCCTCCTTCAGCATGTATTCTATGCAAAACAGGAATTAAAAGACACTGCAGTAAGTGTTAGTCTGACATCAAGGGTAAGATGACAAAGTATTTATATGGCAAATAGAATTTATTCAAGCAACTCTCCTCAGACCTCAGCTCCCAAGTGATTCAAATCTTTGTGTAAAGATTCTAAACTTGTTACTGAGTTAGAGAGAAAGAAATGACAAGTAAAAATATGAGCCTTGTGACAACAGTTCTGATACCAGTATAAAAAAATTCTAGAATGCAAAGAAGAAAGGCTCATCTACATGTGTGCTTTACTGCAGAGTTGACTAAGTCTGATGATAAATTTGCTGATGATACCAAAATTTGGGGTGAGGTGAGCATGCTAGTAGGGAGGAAAAAACTGGAGCAAGACCTGGATAGGGTACAGGGGTGGGCTAACAAAAACAGGATGCGTTTCAATACTGACAAGTGCAGGGTGCTGCACTTGGGCAGTAGTAACCAGCAGCACACTTATAAAATGGGGAAACTCCCTTCTTGAGAGCACAGAAGCAGAAAGGGATCTTGGAGTCATTATTGACTCCAAGATGAGCATGGGCCGACAATGCAAGGTCACGGTTGGCAGGGCTAACCGGACCTTGTCATGCATCCACAGGTGCATCTCAAGTAGGGCCAAGGAGGTGATCCTCCCCCTCCACACGACACTGGTCAGGCCACAGCTGGAGTACTGTGTCCAGTTCTGTGCGCCCCACTTCAGGAGGGATGTGGACAGCATGGAGAGGGTCCAGAAGAGGGCCACCCACATGATCCGGGGGCAACAGGGCAGACCCTATAATGAGAGACTGTGGGACCTGAACCTGTTCAGCCTTCACAAGAGAAGGTTTAAGGGGGGACCCTGGTGACTGTCTATAAACTCACTAGGGGGGACCAGAAGGGTTTGGGAGAGACCTTGTTTCCGCTAGCATCCCCTGGCATAACAAGGAATGACGGCCACAAGTTGTTGGAGAGTAGGTTTAGGTTAGACATCCGTAAGAACTACTTCACAGTCAGGGTGGCTAGGATCTGGAACCAACTTCCAAGGGAAGTGGTGCTGGCTCCTACGCTGGGAGTCTTTAAAAAGAGGCTTGATGCCTACCTGGCTAGAGTCATTTGAGCCCAGTTTTTCTCCTGCCCAGGCAGGGGGTCAGACCTGAATATCTACATGGTCCCTTCTGGCCCTACTTCCATGATTCTATGAAGTGTCATCATCCACACATGCACCTGGACTAGTAAATTAACTCTTATGGAAAAGTAATTAACTGCAATCAAACACTTGTACAGACAGTGACTGCAGGGCACAAATTGCATCCAGTTGGCCCAGCCAGGTGGGGGCCAAATCTCTGGCTCCTGCCAGCCCGTCCACTACCCAGAACCCAGGGCTGGCCCTCAGAGCTCTGCCAGCCTGTGGCTGCTCCACCCTAGTTCTAATTGCTGGTGTCCTAGGTGCACGTGTACACACTGTGCCCAGGAGCAGTTAACTCTGTTAACTCTGCTTCAGAGTTTATTGTGTTGCCTTAATAGCATGTGTAGATGCACCTAGTGTGTCAAAGAAGGTTATAAAATTAGTTATGTAAATATTGCTGCTCTGGATCTCTTCTGCTTCTAGTTCATAATCACAAGTTAGATTTTTTTTTTTAACCTCAAAGATATAAAAGTGTTGTATTTTTGCATTTTTTTACAGGTATCACTGCAGAGGACTTTATATCGCAGTATTCTGAGAGAGAGAGTAAATACAACCAGATGAAGAAGCTTCTTTCAGAAATCATCCCAGCCCAACTTGAAAACATCCACATTTTTAGTGTCTTGAATGTCCCAGGTCAAACCCAGGGGGTTGATGTTTGGTTTGCATTTTGTGGGCCATCATATTATAAAGCAGAGAAACTTAATGGTTATGTGGCAGTGTTTAAAGCACAGGTATGTGATTTTTTTCTCTTTTCATGAACTTTTGATTCTTACTGCATCTATTAAAATCTTGTACCTCTTACCTAGTGTAATGTTTGCTTTGAATCATCAGTGATTTGGGAGGTGGGAAGTACCAAGTTGTATGTTGCAATATTTGACTCTCCTAAATGAAATGTATTTCTCTGGCACTTTGGCTAAAAATTTCAAATATTCATGCTTGGAAATTTTGTCTTAAAATCACAATTAGCATCCAACTAGAAATGATCTAATTTTCTGATGTGTAGACTCTAGGAGCAATGTCTGAATATTGGACTCTCATTTAACTGTTAACAGAGATGTCAAAAAATATGTCTTTCAAGCCAGATCCAGTCAGCAGAGCCCTATGACCTGGCCTGTGGATCTCAAACCAACCTCACCCACTTCATGCAGCATGTGCCAGCCCCTAGCTCTGCTCCATGTGGTGTGCAGAACTGAACCATGTGCACATGTGGCACCTGCACCAGACGAGCCCTGCACGCCCAATTTGTAGCAAATCTGCATTGTGCCTACAAGCTGGCCCTGCATGCCACATGCAGTGCACGTGGCATGTGGGGCTGCATGCATTTCACACTGCATACAGTGTGCAGCACCGGGGCTGGCATGCATGCTGCACACAGGGCCAGTCTATGGGCCTGATCTGGCCCACAGGACCAGAGGAGTTTGAGAGCTGTGGTTTAACTTTAGGCACATAACATTGAAAAATTTTACTCTTAGGCTACTGAATTTCCTATAGGATCTTCAGAATATTCCAATCTTCAGAATATACAGCTTCTTCTACAGAGGCTATGACATAGTCCAAAAGTGGGGTGTGCATAATTCTTGATGTTTCTCTCTCCTCCCCCCAACTTTTGCCTTTCTATTGAAAGGCTCTGTAACTGGAACTCCAATGTTTAGTCAAACATTTCATCTTTCTCTGATCAGAAAGCAGAATAACCTTGTTCTTTTAGAGAAATGTGGGAGTTCCTTTTTTTGTTTTGTTTTTAAAGTGGTTTAAGTATTTACCTAAAGCTCCAGTTATTGCTGCAATTAAAGTAAAGTGACTCGGGGCCAGATACCATGGTATGTGTTAGGTGCCAAACGTAGGAGTAGGTGCCTAAATGTAATTCTCTTCTACCTTGTTTGAGTCCCTGAAAAAAACATTAGTGTGTCTACTTTTTTAGTATGCTATTGTCTTAGTCTTAAGGCTAACATGGGAAAAAGCAGCAAGGAGGGGAGGACTCACCTATCTTTTGCATTAATAGTTAAGAGGCAGTTTTCCAAGGCTGTAATTCTGACTCTTAGAAGTACAGAGCTTCTCAGTGAAAAATTATATCAATAAAACAAACTTTCTTCTACAGCTGCAAAACATCTTGAACGTGAACATCACACAGGTTGGTGTAGATGAGTGCAAGACTGTGAATTGCACTCGCAGCACTGGCTGTGTCAGCACATATAATTACAGCCGTGTACCCACTATCACTACTGCTGGAAATATCTCGCTGGTGTCTGTTACAGTCCTGACAAGTGCCTTGTGCATCTGTGCTGCTCGGGAGAGCCAGCATCTCTCTTGTTCTGCATACTGGACAAACCCATGTTTTAATGGTGGCACATGTGTGGACACTGACTTGGGTTACAGGTTAGTAAAGTTTTCCATGGCACATACTTCTCAGTCAGTTGTAGGAAGGATGTGTGGATGTATATTGTTAAAACGCATATCGTTTTGTACTGGCTGCTCTGTTTGCAAGCTCAGAATAAAGCAGGACCACGCCCCAGGGGTGGCCATGATGCCTCTTGGCTGCCACATGGTTCCTGCCCCACCCATTTCCCAGAGTACCCTCCCTTTTTGTCTTCCTGCCACGCCTCGATGGAATTGTTTTTCTGTTGTGAAGGGAGGCTGCCCCAGGGTCCCTAAACAACCCTAGCCTGCCTTGACCAGTGAGTCCCACCTGTATCCAGCTAACCCCTAGTCCTGTTCTTCAGTGCCCTATGTGGGGCACCCCTTGGCCCTGTCAGTGCTCCAGGGCACCAGTTGCCTTAAAGGCTATTTGTGGCCACCTTCTGCCCCTACAACGATGCCCATGCCTTTCAGGTATTATTCTAGATCAGTGGCTTTCAGCCTGTGGTCTGTGGACCCTATGGGGGGCCTCAGATTATTTCTAAGAGGTCCGCAAAGTATGACTTTGATTAATCAAAAGTATGTAAATACCATAATTAAAATTCAATGGGATCTGTACCTTCAGTCAAAATTTCCAAAGGGGTTCACACCTACATTTGAAATTTTTTAGGGATCTGCAAATAAAAATGGTTGAAAACCACTGTCTTAAAGTAACAGGAGTCCTCTGCCTCCCTGTTACAAAACCAAAGACTTCTCACTTTTCTAGAAGGTACTTAAGTTCACTACTGGTCTGTCCCCCCTGCTCCCCTCTCTGGTGTCAAAGTGCAAGAAATGCATATTCTGTGTGATATAAATGTATTTTATTAGTTGGTTTAATTAATTGCATAGCACATCAGTGACCAACTCTATTCCTGCTTTTTTTATTTTTTTGTGTGTGCTGGGGATGGGAGTGGGGTGACCAGTCTTCATCTACAGCATAATGGCAAACTTGGAAGATGAGGAAGTGATACCTTCAAACGTGTGACCATTTTTTCATTGCAGGGAGGCCCAAGATTCTGTGTGCATTTCACACCTGCCTTGCCACTTCTACCCATCCCACTGATGCTTGAATATAGCCATCCCTACAATGGAAAGGCAGCAGCAACTACCCAACAGTTCTTACCTTAATTTCTACTTTGTATATCAGCAGTTCTCAACTTTTTTAGATCCAAGGCACTCCTCCAAAACTTTTCAAAATTTAGCAGAACCCCATTAAGAGCTGATATAAATATTATATTATAAATATTTTTTTTATTATTAACTAGTATATAATTCATGGATTATATAAATTATAATTAAACCTTATTCACTACTTCAGGCAGCTGGCAGGGAGTGCTTACCTACTTCTGTCTGACTGAACACATGATATAATTCCAGTGCAGCAGCAGACTCCCTACACGTGGCTCCAGGTCACTAATGGAGATTGTGAACCACTGGCCCAATTTCTTCCCTTAGATATCCCAGGACAATTCTGCTCCTCCACTCCCTTCCCTTCCCTTCCCCCCCCTCCAGACTCCAGTATTGTGGCCCTAATGGACAGAATCCAGGAATACCCAGGCGGCAGCAACAAGGTGCTGAGCTGCATGCACAACACATGAAAAGTGCTGAGGGGTTAGGAGCGACAGGGACTAGGCAAAAGAACACATGAGGCCTAAGAGGGAAGAGGGAGGCCAGCCGAAGGGGTGCCAGCATATGGTAACTACCACCACACACCTCAGTTTTCAGGAGGCGTGTTAGAGCTGAACCAGCAAGAGCTGCATATTGAAATTCAGGCAAGCATAGTTTTTCACTGCAGCCACTTCTCAGTTCAGCTCTGACCTGCCTTTTGAAAATTGAGGCATGCTTCACAGCTTCACCTGGCAGCAGGGGTGGCAGTGCTGGCATTGTGGCACCCCTGGCAGGTTCTTGCAGCATGCTGGTTGAGGAACACTTTGTTCCATGTTAAACAGAAATTGTAAAAGCCTTGTCCATGGTACAGTTCTAAACAGGTGCCAGTATACTGCTCAGTTTCATGAAACACAGAATATCTTGCTAAAGGGGAACATAGAGACTCTTCAGAGCTTCCTGCCATTCTCATTCATTCAGCTTTGAGAATTAGTCTTGGGACTTTTTTTTTACTCTAATTTTCCATGTCTTCCTTGGTGATGGGTTCTCCCTTTGTCCACTTGTCTCTTCTACTGTAGTTGCTAGAGCATACAGAAATATGTGAAGTATGAAAGATTCTCTTTTTTTCTCCCAATTAGTCTTGTCCCTTCCTTTATCATTTCTACTTCTCTTCTACACTTTCCATCTTCCCACTTGCCATAATCTATGTTCTCATCATTCTTCATACCTGCCTAAATCTTTTATACACCATCAAAAAGCCTTTTCCAGCCATAGTTTAGTAATATAAATTAGGGGTGCTCAACTTCTGGCCCACAAGCCAAATGCAGCCTGCTGAACCATTGCATCTGGCCCATGGGGCTCCCCATGGGTCCAGAAATTTGATAGTGGGGGAGTGGTGGCCACTAACCCTCCCCCCTCCCAAACCCCTGCATAGCTGATCAGTGTGTGCTACACACCCCACCCCATGGGGCCAGACCAGGCCTCCACTTCCAGTTCTGGACTTCCAACCCCTCTCATGGGGCCTAGTCATGCCCCCTTCCCTCCCCGCAGGGCTAGATTGGGACCAGGCCATGCCCCCTGCAGAGCCAAGCTACACTCCTTACCCCCTGCAGAGCCGCACCCTCTTTGTTCTCTGTGGGGCCTGGGTTGGGCCAAGCCATGCCCCCTACTCGATCAAGCTCCTTTTTCCTGTAGGGCTGCATTGTAGGTGGCCTGGCCTCTGACCCCCACTGCATGGCCAGTTGGCACCTGCCATGCCTACCTTGGGCACCAGACTGGAACCACTGACTGGATCTGACCTGTGGACAGACCAGGCACCTGCCAGTCTGGCTTGCCTGGAAAAAGATTGAAGACCACTGATATAAACAAAATAGTTTGAAATCCTAGTGGTATTACCAAAATGTAACCATCATCATCCTAATCACTGTTTCTAAATTGAATCCCTTTTCTATATCCTTTTCCTGGTTTGCCTGTTTAGACCATAAACTGTCCAGAAAAGATGACTGTTTCCATGTATATTAGTATAAAGTTCAGCATGTGTGCAGGATTACTGCATTAAACCACTGTCATGCTAACTAGCCAATCTCTCTTCACTTGATAGTAAACAGTGGTTTTACATATTGGCTTGGTTTAAGAATATTTCAATTAATAAGATTGTTATATGGACAAAATGTGAATTGTTAGCTGAAACTAAATCGCGCTTCTAAAATAAGTGAGCAAAGAACATTTTATGAGGTGGAAGATATACTAGTAATCACCAGAGACAAGACTGATTATGAATTACTACAATGCAAATAGAGGACTTTTGCTGTGCAATAAGTACTTTTTCTTTCCTAAGGGGTGGTATTCCAAGTTTTCATGCTGGGGATGGAAGAAACAAATTCATTTTCTTTTCCTTTCTTTTTACAGATGTAAATGCCCTGCAAATTTCCATGGACCTGAATGTCAGCAGACAAAACATACCTTCAGAGGGCATGGATATGCCTGGTTCCCTCCCATCAAGCCTTGCTTTGACAGCCGTATCTCTTTGGAGTTCATTACTGAAGTGGCAGATGGCCTTCTGTTGTACAATGGACCAGCAGCGAATGTGCAAACTGAAGAAGTGGAGGATTTCATTGCATTAGGTTAAAAATATTTTTGGCTTGGGAGGGGTGTGGGAGAGAGAGAGAGAGAGAAGAACTTAGGCCTTTACTTACTGTACTTGTATTTATAATTTTTGAATGCCTTCTTAAGGAAATGTCCTTAGAAAACAATGAAAATGGAAAACAACCAACCAATACTTCAGTTTGTTCATTTTTTATTATTGTTCCTGGCATTAGAAGCTTAATGCTACAGGTATTAGAGAAAAATACAGTTTTAAAAGATGCAAGGTATATGAGGTAGTATAATCTGTACCTCATTCAAGGGCTAAAGTTATTTTTAAACATGTCTAGTTTGCTAGTTCACTAGGATATTAATAGTGATGCGGTTGGCTTTTGTACAGGAAAAGACTTATTCAATAACATTATTTCCTTTTAGAGCTCTCTGGTGGTGTCCCATCACTAACTCTGAGTCACGGCTCTGGGGTGCTTTTCCTGCAGCTGTCAAAGGAAGTTAATGTTGCAGATCGTCGCTGGCATAATATAAAAGTTTTAAGCAATGGAAAGGCAAGTGCATATACAAGTAATCCTACAAAACTTGAGTTCAGATATCTGATATATATTCATGAAATAAAGAACTCATATATATTCAGGACCCCTCCTATAAGCAGCTGGTCTGTCAAGGTACTTTTCTGGTTACCTCACCACCATATTATCAATGTGCACAATTTATTAGTTTGGTTTTCCACCCCACTTGTTGTGGAGGGAACATTGTCTTGTGATTAGGGCCTAGGATTGTGGTAGTTTGACCAGCCAAGTTCCAGACCTTTTCTCAAGTGGCTGGCCAATGGTTCTTGGATACACGTTTCTTTTGTAATTCTATAAGTGCCCTTATAGAGCTATAGAAAGCTAGCATACTTATGTTTAAGCTGTTTGTAGTACAGTGGATCCACCATAAAAAAGTTCCTGTTTCAAGCAGAAAATGCTTTGTAACGCTGCCATTCTGTAGCATTATATGCAATATGTGAACAATTTTATGTAGCACTACAGAGGGTCTTTAGGACCTCCTGCATCCCAGTGCTCCAGTCTCCTTCCCCCTTCTAAGTGGGGAACAAAGGAGAGCAGCTGGCAGCTATTACAGAGCCATGGCTGCCCTGCTCTGCACCAGAGTGGCAACAGAAGGTTGGGCTGCAAGAGATGATTAGGCTGCCATGACAGCAAGAGCTGGAGGCAGCTGCAGTAGAGAGGCTGCCTCACTGACAGGCTTCTTTGAGGCTGGGAGAGTAAAAGAGTGGGCCCCGACTGCCATGCAGCTGGAGAGCTCACCTTTGAAGCAACTTTTGTAGTGCTCCAGCCAGGAGGCTGTGCACATGTGCATACCTTGGTAGCACCTTATTCTGGTAGCATTACATATTGATACGTCTGTCCAAGTCCTGAAGACAAATTCCTTAATTTTTTTGATCCACCAGTTCGATTTTTATGGTGCTATGCAACAAGAAGCAAAATTAAAGAGGCCAAAGATATCATTCCTTCCTCTTTTGTGTAGGAGGAATCTCTGCTAATCGTAGAGATTTCTCCTTACCTGTGGTGCTAGAACTGCCTGTAAGAAAAGTATGGGGGCATGTCAAGAGTTGCAAATATGGCATAGCCTGAGGGCAGAGAAGAAATGAGATTCCACTCTACTCCATTGCATCATGGTTTTAGTTTTTATGCTGGGGCTGGCAGCTGTGATTTAGTTTCCCTACTTGAGCACAGTGAAGTATCAAACCTGCTATACCTGATTCCTCCTTTGTAAAATAAGAATACTGATATGTAATTATTCACCTGTGTCAAGCTTTGAGATCTTCAGGTAAAAACTTGGTTTTATTTAGTAGATTTTCTTGCATTGTTATTTATATTTAATGGCACTGACCTGTTCTGATAGGTGGAGTCAAATTTATAATTTAAAAAAATACAATAATTTTAATGCAATGCAATTTCCATTTTAGAAAGTGCAGCTGATTCTTGACCACTGCATAAATGTTACACTTGAAGACAAGGACAATGATCTTAAGGAAGTCTCTCAGATAGATTCATCAGCCTGTGAAGTTTCAGAAGAGACTCCAGGAACTGCAAGGTAAAAACAGAACAAGCTGGCAACAAAACTGCAGAAAAGAACAAGAAAGTAAAGAATCAGATCAGCATGCTCTTAATTGAGTTGTGTACCACTAATTCTTTTTTCTTCCCTATCTCCACAACAATGGAAGATTTCTCAATGTTCACCAACCCCTACAGCTGGGTGGAGTCAAGAGTTTGTCCCATGATTTACAAAGGCACTTCAACGGATTTGTTGGCTGTATACGGAATGTCATCATTGACAGCAAGGTCAGGCTGTAAGAAAATAGTTTGGTGGGATAACTTTGCTGACTAAAGCTGCTTCAGGTGGTGGTTCATTCTTTCTTGTCCTTTCTTAGGTTTATGATTTGGAGAATCCTGCGGAGTCTTTAAACAGTGCTCCTGGCTGTGCTCTGACTGATGGAATGTGTCAAAGGGCTGGGGCACTGTCCTGTGGTGTTCGTGGCAAGTGTATTGGTGAATGGGAATCATTTACTTGTGACTGTTACCCTGGATATGCTGGGCCAAAATGTGATCAAGGTATGGCTAGTTTTAGACAGAAATTAATCCTAAGGGAGATAAATGAATATTTGGGAATAATCAAGACAGATAATGTGATAGATAATTGTCGATGCCAGTGTTAGTTCAGCAAGTCATTCTTTCCCTCTGAGTAATTTAGATTTGCAGAGATTTCTTTGTTGTTGCACAAAGTAAATGTTATGGATAATAGTCTTAGCAGGACTTGCTTTAACTTGTGTGTGACTTATTCTCAGAGCATTATTTCACTACTTGTGGGAGTGAAAGCTTGAAGAAATTGCATTCTGAACATTTCTTTCTGTGGCTCATGTACACCATTCACTTCAAGTCTGTTTTTTCCTTTAATTCTAAAACAAAGTGCAATAATTACTGCATGTTTTAAGATCTCATGGTGGCCACAGGAGAGGAGGGATGGTTCAGTGGTTGAAGTGTCAGCTTGGACATGCAGGTTCAATTTCCTGCTGTCATGTGCTTCTAGTGTAATGTGGGACAAATCATTCCACCATCTTGGCTGTGTCAAGATAAGCGTGGCTGTGAGGTATGTGACACCACATACCACACGTTCAGCTGTTCTCCCCACTGCAAAGTAGTAGCTCAGGAAGGGGTGGTTTTTGACTCCAGGAGATCCCAGGGTCAAAAAAACCGTGGAAAAAACCATAAATGGCGCATGTATGGTGGCAGTATGCATTGCCCAAAACTGGAGCCTGGGTGGCTGGAACTGTGCTCCAGCTGCCGGCCAGGATCCGAGTGGCAGGACTGCTGTTGCTGCAGTGCCAGGAAGCCCCCAGGACCCCAGCTAAGGCTGCTGGGGCCAGCCCAGTGCTGGCTTCAGTCTCCTCTACCCCCCTGGGGTAACTTGCCATGTGCCAGAGGGCACATAG